GGAGAAGGACAAGGGAACTCCCAGGGGGAAAGAGATCAGAGGAGGTGCTTAACATCTTGGTAATGTTGCTCAGTGGCAGAAATGGGAGTCTCTGAGTCAGAGAACAATTAAGGGCAGCAGTGGTGTGGGTGTTGATAATCAACAGGCTTTATCTTATCTATGACTAGCAGATACTGGGTGCAGTTTCACAGGGTATGCAAAACAGGCAGGCTCTCAACGTCTAAAAACTGCTAAGTTGGCCTTGTTGAAAACAAATGGATGGGGCTCCTGCGTGGCTCAGTAGTTTAAATGGCTGCCTTTGGCTCAGGTCATGGTCCCAGGGTCCTAGGATTGAGCCCCGTATGGGGCTCCCTGCTCAGCGGGGAGTCTGCTTCTCCCTCTTCTTCTCCCTCTCTCTCTGCCCCTCCTCTGTTCGTGCTCTCTTTCTCTCTATCTCAAAAAATAAATAAAATCTTTAAAAAGAAAAAGAAAACAAATGAATGTGTAAAAAATTAAGTTTGGCGGGGCACCTGGGTGGCTTAGTTGTTAAGCATCTGCCTTCAGCTCAGGTCATGATCCCAAGATCCTGGGATCGAGCCCCTCATTGGGCTCCCTGCTCGATGGGAAGCCTGCTTCACCCTCTCCCACTCCACATGCTTGTGTTCCCTTTCTTGCTATTTCTCTCTCTGGCATATAAATAAAATCTTTAAAAAAAAATTAACTTTGACACCGGCAGGCTTTCAGCTGATGGGTGTTGGCCTGCTATGAAGAAATAAACAATCTATGGTCTAATAGACAAAAGCCATTTTGGGGCCATTTATATACCAGGAGGTCACTAAACAGGGGACTAGACTCAAGCTTATGACCCATGGCTGGAGCCAAGCACTTCTGGATGTCCTCTTCCTGCAACAATCATACTGAAGGAACAAAGAGAAGCAAACAGAAGCATGCCAGACAGAACCAGGAAAAAAGCCCTTTCCTTCTGCAGTATCTGTGTAGTATCTTCTACTGAGGATAATTTTGTTTTTCAGATTAAGATATAACTGACATAGAACAGTGTGAAAGTTTAAGATGGACTGTTGATTTGATACACTTATATATTGCAAAATGATTACCACACATAGCATTAACTGACATCTCCACCACATCCCATTATTACCTTTTCTTTTTTGTAGTGAGAACATTTAAGATCTACTCTCTTAGCAACATTCAAGTATATACTACAGTACTATTAACTATAATCACCATGTATTACATTAGGTTCCCAGAATTTATTCATCTTCTAACTGAAAATTTGTATCCTTTGACCAACCTCTCCCCATTTCTCCCACCCATAGATAACCACCACTCTACTCTCTGTTTCTATGAGTTTGTTGTTGTTGTTTTCAGATTCCAAATATAAGTGAGATCACACAGTATTTGTCATTCTCTGTCTGACTTATTTCACTCAGCGTAATGCCCTCAAGGTCCATTCATGTTGTTGCAGATGGCAGGATTTCCTTCTTTGCTATGACTGAATAATATTCATGTATTTATCACATCTTTATTCATTCATCCATTGACAGACACTTAGGTCGTTTCCATATCTTGGCTATTGTGAATAATGCTGAAATGAATGTGAGAATACAGACAACTCTTTGAGATCCTGTTTTCCTTTCCTTTGAATATACACCCAGAAGTGGGACTGCAGGATCATATAATAATTCTATTCTCAATTTTTTAACGAAACCTCATTCTGTTTTCCAAATTGGTTGCACCAATTTACATTCCCACCAACAGTGCACAGGAGTTCCCCTTTTTCTACATCCTTGCCAATACTTGTTATCTCTTGTCTTTTTGATAAAAGCTATTCTAGCAGGGGTGAGGTGATATCTCCTTGTGGTTTTGATTTGCATTTTCCTGATGATTAGTGATGTCAGTGTATCTGTTCATGTTTCACCTATCTGTTGATCATTTGTATGTCTTCTTTGGGAAAATATCTATTCAGTTCCTCTGTCCATTTTTTTAATCAAAAGAAAGTTTTGGCTATTAAATTATGTGAGTTCTTTATATATTTTGGATAGTAAGCCTTTATCAGATATATGATTTGCAAATACTTTCTCCCATTCAGTAGGTTGCCTTTTAGTTTGTTGACTTTTTCTTTTGTGCAGAACTTTTTAGTTTGATATAGTTCCCCTTATTAATTTTTCCTTTTATTGCTTGTGTTTTTGGTGTCACAACCAAAAAATTGTTGCCAATAACAATGTCAAGAAATTTTTTCCTTTGTTTCTCCTAGGAGTTTTTTTTTTTTAAGATTTTATTTTATTTATTTATTTATTTGAGAGAGAGAATGAGATAGAGAGCATGAGAGGAGGGAGCTTCAGAGAGAGAAGCAGATTCCCTGCCGAGCAGGGAGCCCAATGCGGAACTCGATCCTGGGACTCCAGGATCATGACCTGAGCCGAAGGCAGTCGCTTAACCAACTGAGCCACCCAGGCACCCTCTCCTAGGAGTTTTATGGTTTTAGTTTTTATGTTTAAGTCTTTTATCCATTTCAAGTTAATTTTGATGTGTGGTGTAGGATAGGGGTCCCATTTCATTCATGTGACTAACCAGTTTTCCAGAACCACTTATTGAAGAGACTTTTTTCCCCATTGAGTATCCTTGGATCCCTGTCAAATATTAGTTGGCCATGTATGTGAGGGTTTATTTCTGGGCTGTCAATTTGTTTCCATTGGTCTTTGTGTCTGATTTTATTCCCTATAGCTTTGTGTGATGCCTCCAGGTTTGTTCTTCCTAGGAATTACTATGGCTATTCAGAGAATTTGGTGATTCCATACAAATTTTAAGTTTTTTTTCTTCTATTTCTGAGAAAGGTGTTGTTGGAATTTTGATAGAGTTTGTGTTGATGCCATAGATGGTTTTGAGTAGTATTTACAATTTAACGATATTAATTCTGATCCATAAACATGGGATATTTTTCCATTTGTTTGTGTTTTCTTGATTTTTTTTAAATCAAAGTCATAGTTTTCAGTGTAGAGATCTTTCGTCTTTTGGGTAAATTTATTCCTATTTTTTGATGCTCTTGTGAATGGGATTATTTTCTTTATTTCATTCTCAGCTATAATGTTGTTAGTGTACAGAAATGCAACTGATTTCTGTATGTTGATCTTGTATCCTGCAACTTTACTGAGTTCATTGATTAGTTTTTTGGTGTAGTAAATGTATTTTCCATATAAAAAATTACATCATCTGCATACAAGACAATTTTCCTTTTTCCTTTTTCATTTGGATGCCTTTTATTTTATTTTCTTGATCAATTGCTCTGGCTAGGACTTCCAGTGCTTTGTTGAATAAGTGAGAATGGGCACCTTTGTCTTGTTCCTGGCCTTAGAGGAAAAGCTTTCAATTTTTTTCCATTGAGTATAATGTTGGCTGTGGGTTTGTCATATATGGCTTTTATTATGTTGAAGTATGTTCCTTCTATACCCAATATGTTGAGCATTTTTATCATGAAAAGCTAATGTATTTTGTCAAATGCTATTTCTGCATTTATTGAAATGATCATGTGATTTTTATCTTTCATTCAGTTAATGTGGTGTGCCACATGTATTGATCTGTGAACCATCCTTTAATCCTAGGGGTGAATACCACTTGATCATGGTTTATGATCCTTTTAATGTGCTATTGAATTTGGTTTGCTAATACTTTGTTGAGAATTTGTATATCTATATTCACCAGGAATATTGGTCAGTAGTTTTTTTCTGTTATAGCATCCTTATCTGGCTTTGGTATCAGAGTATGCTGGCCTTGTGAAATGAGTTTGGAAATGTTCCTTCCTCTTCTATTTTTTGGAAGAGTTTGAAAGGCTTGACATTAATTCCTTAAATGTTTGGTAGAATGAGCCATTGAAACTGTCAGGTCTTATCCTTCTCTGTATTGGTTGGCTTTTGATTACTGATTCAATCTTCTTACTCATTATTGGTCTGCTCAGATTTTCTATTTCTTCATGATTCAGTTTGGTAGGTTGTATGTCCTAGGAATATATCCATTTCTTCTAGGTTATCTAATCTGTTGCCACACAATTTTTATGAGCCTGTGTATCTTTGTAGCGTAAGTTGTAATGTCTTTTTTCATTTCCAATTTTATTTATTTGAGTTTTCATTCTTTTTTCTTCTTAGTTTAGCTAAAGATTTGTAAATTTTGTTTATCTTTTTTAAAAACTGACATTTAGTTTTGTTGACACTTTGTATTGTTTTTCTGATTTATATTTTATTTATCTCCACTCTGATCTTTATTATTTCCTTCCTTCTGCTAACCGTGGGCTTAATTTTTTCTTTTTCAAGTTCCCTAAAGTATAAATATAGGTTGTTTATTTGAGATCATTCTAATTTCTTAATATATGCATTTATCACTATAAACTTTCTTCTCAATTGCTTTTGCTCCATCACATAATTTTTGATATATTGCATTTCCATTTTCATTTGTTTTGAGATATTTGTAAAATGTCTCTTTTGATTTCTTCTTTGACCCATTGGTTGTTCAGAAGTGTGTTGTTTAGTTTCCACATACTTGTAGATTTTCCAGCTTTCCTCTTCTTCATTTCTAACTTCATTCCATTGTGGTCAGAAAAGGTAATTGATATGATTTCAATGTTCTTCAAACTTCTAAGATTTGTTTTGTGCCATATTGTACAATCTATCCTCGAGAATGTTACCTGTGTACTCCCGAAGAATATTCTGCTGATTTGATAGAATGGTCTATACATGTTTATTAAGTTCATTTGTTCTGGATTATGATTCAATTCCAATATTTCTTTTGATTTTGTCTGGATGTTCTACCCATTGTTGACAGTGGGGTAGTGAAATCTCCTACTATTATTATATTTTTTCTATTTCTCTCTTCATATCCATTAGGTTTTGTTTAATATATTCCAGTGCTGTAATGTTGGGTGCATATATATTTACTATTGTTATATATTCTTGATGTATTGACTTTTTAATCATTATATAATGACCTGAATCTCTTGTTATCTTTTTTAGCATAAAGTCTACTTTGTCTGATGTAAGTATGGCTACATTCACTTTCCTTTTGTTTTCCACTTGCATGAAATATCTTTTTCCATCCCTTTACATTGAGCCTAGGTGGGTCTTTAGAGCTAAAATGAGTTTCCTGTAGGCAGCATGTAGTTGGGTCTTTTTTTTTTTTTAACCCTCCAGAATATTCTGTGCCTTTCTATTGGTGAATTCAATTCATTTATATTTAGAGTGACTATTGATATGTAAAGACATACTTCTGCCATCATATCATTTGTCTTCTAGTTGTTTTGTATCTCCATTGTTTCTTTTTCCCTCTTTTTCTGTCTACCTTTATAAAGTGGTCATTTTCCATGGTGATTTACTCAGTCTCCCCTTTTATGTTTTGTGGCTCTACTCTAGGTTTTTAGTTTGTGGTTACCATGTGGCTTACATAAAACATCTCATATATAAAATAGTCCTTTTTATGCTGATAGCATCTAATCTTCATTTGCCTATAAAAGTTCCACCCTAATATTGCCATTTTACAGATAAGGAAACAAATACAGAGATATTTAGTAACTTATTCTGAGACCACATAACAAATATGTGAAGGAAATGTAATTAGTTGCTGTCAGTCTAACTTCAGAGCTCATTATGCTACAGGTCTGCTTGTGTTTATAATCTGGGATGAAAAGGTCCTTCTAGCACATCAAATAAAAATATTGATGAATTTTTTACATAAATTTAAATTTTTTACATTTGGTCTAAAATAGAGTTTTAAGAGTGTTAAAGAATTAGGAGAAAAGATTTAGCAGCACACATAAGACACAAAGGGCTAATGTCATTAAAATTAAAAAAGGTCCTGCAAACCAGTTTACCACACCCATTCAAATAGGAAAAATAAGAAAGTTATAAGAACAGGTAACTCTCAAAAGGATAAATGGAAAATGTTACAACTAAGGAAAATGCTACAAATAAGGGGGTAAAGATTGGTCTTGTGGCCAGAAACATTTCAGAAATACCAGATTAAATGAAATTAAACTATTTTCTTTACAGTGAGATTTCTCCAAACCTTTAATATGTGAATATTCACTGTGACTCTACAGAAAAAGTATGAAATAGAGCATTTCTAAAATCTTATCTAACCATGAGGACTTTTTCTTTTTCTGTGCAGCTTCTAACAGGACACAGATTTTATGGAACATACTTGAAAATGCTGCATTAATTCATTTGCTCCTATAATAGTCCTATAACTTTTCCCACTTTATGAGATTGCATAATCTAATACACGTAGTCTGAATTAATAAGGCCCTTATTCCACCACAACTCTGCTACTTGTCCCAGAGTGTTGGGCCCAGAAAGATCCTTAATACATTTACAAAGAAGGGAGTGAGACTGGAGAAGCAGAGGCAATTGCTAAACTGTTGTTCCAAGTCCCTGTATTTCCAGAACTCGGGTCCAGACCCTGGAGGATCATTTTATTATTTTTATTTTTTTTTTTAAGATTTTATTTATTTATTTGAGAGAGGGAATGAGAGACAGACAGCAGGAGAGGGAGGAGTGTCAGAGGGAGAAGCAGACTCCCTACCGAGCAGGGAGCCCGATGTGGGACTCGATCCCGGGACTTCAGGATCATGACCTGAGCTGAAGGCAGTCGCTTAACCAACTGAGCCACCCAGGCGCCCATGGAGGATCATTTTAAAAGGCATGTTCACTAGCCCAAAACATCTACTTTGATTAATCAGTTGTGATCTCTTCATTTCCTGGGCCATTTGCTCTAACTCAGCACCCCCTCAGGACTCTAAATCAAATCTACAGGAACCAGGTAAGAGGTTGAAGGCCTCTCTCCATCCTCTGCTCTGGGTTAGCCTGGCACAGACCTGGATCTTCCAGGGCATGTCCCTTGAGCACCATAAGCAGTGGAATTAGAAGCTGGAGCATCCTCTTTTCATTCCAGTCCAGAATTGCCCAACCTATGCCTCTAGCCAAAGCTGATAAAGTGCCAACTGCCACTGCTTCAGTTGGGGCCATCACAAATGCATGGCAGAGCTGGTCTTAGGTGACATCACAGTAAGCCCAGGGTTAGGGAGGATACAGGGGATGCAAGGCAGCCTGGCTTAATGAGTCTGTGTGCCTAATCCTTCCCTGTATTCCCTCCACAGTGGGGAATAAAGGGACACCGTCTTAAACAAACTTTTGTCTGCACATTCCCTTCCCACTTTTGACTCTGAGCCTCTTGTGAAGCCATGTATTCTATCATGTGCTTTGGCATCAAAAAGCTATGGGTCTTTGGGTGAGTTTTCATATTTTTTATCTCAAAGCCTGCTATGACTTTTTAGAAGATTGAACTTTATTGTGAGGTTAATGGGGAGAATGGTAAAATGAAAATGGGTCATATAGTCACATATGCATGAAAAGATTACTCTGAGTGTTACACAGGGATTATTTTAGAGAGGATTAACTAGAAAAGAGAATATAATTTAGGAAGTTGCTCCAGAAATGCAGATGAAAGATGATGGTGGCCTAAGTAGTAAAGAGGTGGGTATATTAGTTTGCCAAGGCTACCATAACAATGTACCACATACTGGGTGGCTTAAACAACAGAAATTTCTCAGTTCTGGAGGCTGGGAAGTCCAAGATCAAGGTGTCAACGGGGTTGGTTTCCTTCTGAGGGCCATAATGGAAGGATCTGTTCCAGGCCTCTCTGGCTGGTGTGCAGATGGTCATCCTCTTGTTGCCTCTTCACTACGGTCTTCTCTCTGTGCACATGCACTCCCGGTGTCTCTTCCTCTGTTTTTTAAATTTAATTTAATTTTAGTTGCAGTATAGTTAACATACAAGTGTTATATTAGTTTCAGGTGTACAACATAGTGACTCAACAATTCCATACATCACCCAGTGCTCATCTCAAGAGCACTCCTTAATCTCCATCACTTATTTCACTTATCCCCCCGCCCACCTCCCCTCTGGTAACCATCTTCTTCTTTTTATAAGAACACCAGTTATATTGGATTAAGGCCTTATTTTAACTTAATCATCTCTTTAAAGACCTTATCTTCAAATATGATTGCATTCTGAGGTACTGGGGGCTGGGATATGAACATATGAATTTTAAGAGGGACACAATTCATCCCATAATAGTTGAGTTACCAAGAAACAGATGTAATTGAGAGATAACCAAAGAGGTTGAATATAAAAGTAATGTGATTGATGAGCTATATAGGATGAGCAGTCAGATACAAGTACAGATCTGAAAGTTTGGGGCGGAAGTATAAATTGGAAAGTTATCAGCCTATTTAAGTCATGGGAATGGATAAGATTGTTCATTGAGAAGGTTTGGAGAGAGAAGCAAAGAAGGCCTAGGACTGAGCCCAGAATAACTGCCAACATTTATGGTCCTATAGAGGAAGCAGAGCTGGAAATGGAAGCTAGCAATTGCCAGAAGTACTGTAGGAAAATAAGAGGGTGTTGGTGTGTAAAATGGGACTAGAATGTTCCAAAGAGGAGCAATGTTTTCTAATTAAAGATAATCCCTCCCCGTGTCCTCTGAACCTCTCAATCCTCCCACAGCCTCGGCAATATAATACTATCAATTACTTGCTCCCTCCCTAGTCCTCATGCTCTTTTTCTCTTCCACATCTTTCTCATCAGCATTTAAATGTGCTTAAGTCATCAAATCTTCTAAATAAACAAGTCTCAAAAGGCTCTCCCCCTACTCTGACTTACTCTTTAGCCACCACCCTATCTCCTCTCATTTATAACTCTTTGTAAAGAATTCAAAGAATGACTGTATAGAAGACTGAATGAAGTGCTAACTGCTGACAATAGCTGTTATCTGTAAGTAAAGACTCCTGTTTTCTCCTCTGTTCTCGCAACAGTTCTGACATCAGATGTGTGGGTTTTTCCACACCAAGCACTTCTCCAACTCTTAGTGGACATTGAATGGTAGTCCTACAGTTTAACTCAATTCTGACACTAACTACATGGAGTAAGTGCGGACCCCACAGGTTAAGGGTTCAGTCCCACAAAATTGCACCCACTTCAGATGCCAATCACAAATCCAGGTTGTCACTTACACTTCTGACTGACCTGCTATAAATCAGGAGTTCCCACAACCCCTCCTCAGTTTCCATGATTTGCTAGAAGAGGTCATAGAACTCAGTGAGCTTTACTCACTATTTCTGATTTATTATAAAGAATACAACTCAGGGACAACCAAATGGAAAAGATACATAGAATAAGGTATAGGGAAGGGACAAGGGACATGGAGTTCTCTTGCCCTCTCTAGGTGCACCACCCTTCCAGCACCTTCATGTGTGCATCAACCCATATACTCTCTGAACCCCTTCAGTTAGGGTTTTTATGTTGACTTCATTATGTAGGCTTGATTGACTAAACCACTGGCCACTGGTGGTTAATTCAGCCTCCAGCCCTTCTCTCCTTAGACATCAGGTCTGGGGCTGGAAATTCCAACCCTCTAGTCACAAAATTGGTTCCCCAGGCAACCAGACCCCTAGCCCAAGGGTTTTTTCAAAAGTCACCTCATTAACATAAACTCAGATGTGGTTGAAAAAGGCTTGTTACTGATAACAGGAGACACTCCTTTCATCTTTATCACCTCAGAACTATTTTAGGGCTCAGGACAAGAACCATATATTAACACATAAGAAATTACAAAGATTTTAAGGGCTCTGGCCAGGAATCCAGATGAAGACTACAATATATGTTTCTTATTATATCACAAGATTACAATAATATTCCCCAGTTACCTACAAGTCTCGCTAGCTACCTATAAGGCTTCCCAGTTACCTGCAAGCCTTGCTCCCTTCTTCCTTCAGGTCTCTTCTGTCCCCTTGTCAGTTGGACCTCCCAATCACTCTATTAAAAACAGCACCTGCTATCTTCTTTAACCTGCACTCACTATACTCTTTCTCTACTTTATTTTTCCATAGCATTTACTATCATCTAATAAAGTCCATATCTTCAGGATTTATTTAACTTCTGTCTCTTCTACTATAATAATCTTTGCGAGGGCAAGGACATTTATTATTTATTCCTATATCTCTAGTTTTTAGAAAATTTCCTGGTACATATTAGGCACTTAATAAATAGTTGGAATGAATGAATGAATGCCTTGAGAAGAAAAGGCTGGCCTCCCCCTCAAGGTAGAGATTGACGCGTGAATGTTGGTGAGGTATGCTCTGCCCTGATGAGTTGTACTATCTTGAGAAAGTCAAGGTTTATGTTTCTTTTCCCCTCATGAGTTTTTCAAAAGGATAAGCCAAAGTAATTTGAGAATTAACTGTGGTTATATGTCTAAAAGCCTAATGTAGACTAGTATGGTCTTTGGAGCTGGGCAGACCTGGGTTTGGATCCTGGCATGATATTCACAGTATTAGTCAGGGTTCTTCAGGGAAACAGAACCAATAGGCTATTATATATCATATATGTAATGACTTATTATTATAAGGAATTGGCTTATACAATTATGGAGGCTGACAAGTCCCATTATCTGCCATCTGCAAACTGGAGACCCAAGAAAGCCAGTCATGTAGTTTGAAGGCCTGAGTGCCAGAAAGCCAATGGTGTAATTCCAGTCTAAGTCCAAATACCTGAAAAACAAGAGAACCAGTGATAGAAGTTCTAGTCCAAGTCTAAAGGCTTAAGATCCAGAAGGCTAATGGTGAAGTCGGAGGGCAGAAGACTGATGTCCCAGGTCAAGTAGTCAGGCAGGGAGAGCAAATGTTCTCTTCCCCCAACTTTTTGTTTTATTTAGGCCTTCAATGGATTGGAGAATGTCCACCCACGTTGGGACGGGCCATCTGCTTTACTCTCTCTACAAATTCAAATGCTAATCTCATCTGGAAACACCCTTACAGACACACTCAGAAATAATGTTTAATATCTGGGCACTCCATAATCCAGTCAAGTTGATATAAAATTAACCTCCTCACTCAGTAACCTGTGATTCTGGTCTGGTTCCTTAACTTGTCCTAGGCTGCTTTCTTCACCATGAAATGAGGAAAGAAGATAACTTGGTCTAGTTTTGTAGGGTTGTTCTGCAGATTAAATGTGATGGCAAATGCAACACCTTGGCATGCAGGAAGCCATCAGAACAAGCCAGTGCCCTGTCCTTCTGGTGCACTAGGCGCCTCACTCAGAATCCAAGAGGGTTAGACATGAAGATGATCTCAGAGCCTGTGTATACTTGAGACAATGATCATGATCTGCCACTGATTGACTGCATATTTGGTGATTAAACTTGTAAAATGGGCTCCAGAACATTATTGCATTATCATAGCAAGTATGTTTTGGATGCATTACTATGTAGCAGTCCCTGTATTGTGGACTGCATGTTTGTATCTCCCTCAAAATTCATTTGTTGAGGGGCACCCGGGTGGCTCAGTCGTTAAGTGTCTGCCTTCGGCTCAGGTCATGATTCCAGGGTCCTGGGATCGAGCCCCACATCGGGCTCCTTGCTCCATGGGGAGCCTGCTTCTCCCACTCGCCTTGCTTGTGTTCCCTCTCTCACTGTGTCTCTCTCTGTCAAAAAATAAATAAAATCTTTTAAAAAAATTCATTTGTTGAAACCTAATTTCAGTGTGATAGGATTTGGAGGTGGGCCTTTGAAAAGTAATTGATCATGAGAGCGGAGCCCTCACAAATAGGATTTGTGCCCTTATAATAAGAGATAGGAAGAGATCTCTCATCCATGTGAAGACCCACTAAGAAAGCAGCTGTTTGAAAACCAGGAAGAGAGCCCTGTCCAAGAACCAACCATCCTGGCACCCTGAGTTTGGAGAGTTTGGATATCCAACTTCCAGAACTATGAGAAATAAATGTCTGTTTTTTAAGTCACCCGGTGTAGGGCACAGTTGGCCCTTGAACACCACAGGTTTTGACTGCACAATCCACTTATACACAGATTTTTTTCAATAAATATATTGGAAAATTGTTTGGAGATTTGCAACAATTGGAAAAAGAGACAGATTGCATAGCCTAGGGATACCAAAAAAATTAAGAAAAAATTTAGTGGAGTGCCTGAATGGCTCAGTTGGTTGAGCGTCCCACTCTTGGTTTTGGCTCAGGTAGTGATCTCATGGGTCATGGGATCCAGCCTTGTGTCAGGCTCTGCTCTTGGCGTGGGGTCTGCTTCAAGATTCTCTCCCTCTGTCCCTCCCCACACACATGTGCACTCACACATGTGTGTGTGCGCTCTCTCTCTAAAATAAATAAATGAATCTTTAGAAGAAAAAAAACATTTGGTGTGCCATAAATGCATATAATATATGTATATACTAGACTATTATATCATTTACTGCCATAAAATACACACAAATCTATTACAAAAGGTTAACATTTATCAAAACTTATGCACACACAAAATTTACAGACTGTACATGAAGTCATTCATGGTCAGGAGAAATATAAGCAAATGTAAAGATGCAGTATTAAATCATGACTGTAAAAAATTAACTGTAGTGTATACTGTATTACTGTAATACTTTCATAGCCATCTTCTGTTGCTATTGCAGTGTACTCCAGTGTTGGGAATATCCACTTCAAATGCTGTGATGACAATCATTTCCATGTAAGCAGCTGGTCTTTCCAGTAAATTGTGTATTGCAATTAAAAAGTAATCTCTCAAGTTCTTGTGTATTTTTCATTGTGTTTAGTGCAATACTGTAAACCTTGAATAACACTATGAGCCCATACAAAGTGCTACTAGTGATGCTGAAAGTGCTTCCAAGAAGCAGAAAAAAGTCATGACATTACAAGAAAAAGTTTAATTCCTTCATATGTACTATAGACTGAGGTCTGCCACTGTGGTTGCCCACCATTTCAAGGTAAATGAATCCAGCATAGGATCATTGTTAAAAAAAAAAAAAAAGGAAATCCGTGAAGTCATCACTGCAGCTATGCCAGCAGGTACAAAAACCTTGGACTTTTTGCAAAATGCCTTTTTATCTCATATTGAAAATGCAGCTTTTATATGGGTGCAGGATTGCTATAAAAAAGGCGTACCCCTAGAGTCTAATACGACTTGAGAAAAAGCAAAGTCATTATATAACAACTTCAAGCAAAAGGAAGGTGAAAGATCTAAAGCTGGAGAATTTAACACCAACAAAGGATGGCTTGATGATTTTATAAAGAGGTTTGGTTTAAAAAATGTCAAGATAACAGGAGAAGCAGCTTTTGGTGACCAAGAGGCAGCAGATGAGTTCCCAAATGCCATTGAGAAAATCACTGATGAGAAAAGATACCTACCTGATCAGATTTTTTTCATGCAAATGAAAAAAATTTGGGGGGTGGAGCCACGGAGGACATTAGTAAGGAAGAAGAGCGAGCACCAGTATTTAAGACAGGGAGGGATAGGCTAGCTCTACTGTTTTATGCCAGTGTTGGGTTTATAATGAGGACTTCCCTTATCTATAAAGCTACTAACCCCGGAGTCTTAAAGGCGAAAGATAAACACTAGCTGCCAGTCTTTTGGTTGTACAACAAGAAGGCTTAGACAATAAGAACCCTTTTTCTGGATTGGTTCCATTGATGCTTTATCCCTGAAGTCAGGAAGTACTTGTCGGTAAGGGGCTGCCTTTTATTTATGTATTTATTTATTTATTTTTAAAGATTTTATTTATTTGACGAGAGAGAGAGTACAAGCGGGGGGAGTGGCAAGCAGAAGGAGAGGGAGAAGCAGGCTCCCCACTGAGCAGGGAGCCCGATGTGGGGCTCGATCCCAGGACTCTGGGATCATGACCTAAGCCGAAGGCAGACACTTAACCAATTGAGCCACCCAGGTGCCCCAGGGGCTGCCTTTTAAAGAAATGCCATTTGATACTGGAAATGTTCCTGGCCACACAGAGCCCCATGAGTTCAACACCAAAGGTATTGCCCCCAAACACAATGTCTCTAATTCAGCCTCTAGATCAGGCGATCATAAGGGCTTTTAAGACTCATTATACATGACAGTCTATGTAAAGCTTTGCCAATGCAATGGAAGAGAACCCTGACAGAACATCATGAAAGTCTGGGACGATTACACCATAAAAGATGCCATCGTTGTTGTAAGAAAAGCCATGAAAGCCATCAAGCCTGAAACAATAAACAAATTCCTCATAATTGGAGAAACTGCATATCAGCCTATTATCACAGGTAAGTGGTTAAAAAAAAAACTGTAACAATGTTAGTAATACTGTATTGTGAATATGTAATACTACATGCCATAAAAATTTTACAATTCACTCATTAGTGTATAAGCGAGGATACCATGAAGCAATCATATCAATTACACTAGGCTACCACAAAGCAATCATATTGCTGCTTTAATTCATAGATCATTATACCTGTAAAAAACATGAATTTCTTTTTCACTTTCTCTTTTCATTTTTTCCATCTAGTGTTAGTAATATGTATAATACCTACAGTGTTTGTATCATATAAGACTATTGATGTAAGTACTGACAGACAATTCATCTTGTAAACAGATGATGTAAACTTATGGTATTAATAAATACAATACAGTACTGTAAATATATTTTCTCTTCCTTATGATTTTCTTAGTAACATTTTCTTTCTCTAGCTTATTTTATTGTAAGAATACAGTGTATAACATATATAGCATACAAAATATGTATTAATCAACTGTTTATGTTACTGGTAAGGCTTTCAGTGAACAGTAGGTTATTAGTAGTTAAGTTTTTGGAGAGTCAAAGTTATATGTGGATTTTAGCTGCAAGGAGTGGGGTTGGTGTCTCTAACCCCCATGTTGTTCAAGGGTCAACTGAATTTGTTACAGCTGTCAGAAGTGACTAAGATGCATTGTGACCACAGCCTGATCCTCATGTCAACCCTAAAAGGTAGCTCCTATTATACTCTGTGTAGAAATAAGCAAAACTCTGAGAGGTGTAATAACATGCCCATGATCCTTTATAGAAGTAGTGGAAGCAGGATTTGAAGCTAAATATGTCCGGCTTCAGAAATCATCTCTAGTACAACATGCAAACCACCTACTAAATAATACAGTACAATATAAATGGATACACAAGTTTTAGGGGCAGCAAGTCTCTGCAGGAAAGTCAAAGAGGAGACCAGATGCATCCTCCGAACTCTCTGACTACATCATTACTTGGTGAGGTGCTTGTAACCATAAGGTCATAGTCCAGCAATAACAATGGGTTTTGTCTGATTGTCTGGTAACAGCTGCCTAAATGGCCATATTGTGGCCACTTCTTGGCTCAGCAGAAAGGAGTTATGATCAATTGGCCGCATCTGTCATGAAAGCTGGGGGCTGGGGGTGGTGGTGGGTGGAGCATGGCAGTCCTACCAGACATTTGCCTCCCTGAGCTAGGTGACTTGCCCATGCTTGTATGGATGAGTACGTTCCCCACAGTTGCTGTTCAGCAAACTGCTGTAAATGGGGAAATCATGAAGTTCTAGCCAGACCTTTCCCAACTGTAAAGGCACTGAAGAATGCAATGGGTAATACAACTGCTGTGTTTGAACAAGTACAATGCATGGACTGCGATCAAAACACAGCTTTATTTGTGTCCCTCACTATTTTTTTAAACTCCATTCACTAGGGATGATTTGTCCTGCCCAGATAAAAAAGCTCCAGGTACACCTTTTGGTTGTTCAGAGATAATAGTCCTACAGGCACTTGAGTCCCAAACCCAGTTTCCATGTAGGCATTAGAATATCTAAACTCTTGTCATACTCCAGAGGCTGAAATCTGACTCTGTTAAATCTCCCTTTCCCAGTCTGGGTCTATTCAGGGACAGGGGCCTTTTCTCACCTCTGGTTCTGCTCATCTTCCCCCACCTTGAGCTGCCCTTTCACTCCTGGCAGAGATCAAAGTTGAGGAGAGGGTGCAGATAAAGGTGAGGTAGCCCAAACATCAGCTTCCTGACCTCTGGGCCTAGAAGTCATTTTCTGCTGACTTTTAGGGTGTTGTTTTCATGGGCTCTTCTGTGGTTCCCTGCTGGCCTCCTTTCTCCTGCAGCTCCCAAGCCTGGTAGCACATCCCCAGCCTCTTTCCTCTGGGGTCCTCTTGCCCGCTCTGGGAAGCCCTATGGATGGATCCTCAGACACCCCCGACTGGCTCTCTCCTCTGTGCAGCCCACACTGCAGAAACTGGGGGGTCAGCAGTCCCTGTACAGTACTGTCCCAGACCCTAAGTGGTTGGCCAGACACTCTCTTGCTCTCCAGATTTCCCACATAGAGTCAGACTCCAGCCCCAGCTTCCCAGGGACCCCAAGAAGCTCTCTATCCTAAGCCTGACTGACATTTCTCAAAGTGGTCCAGGATGCTCTCCACTGGAATCATCTGGAAGCAGCTATTAAAATGCTTAGATCTGGCTCTCTTCCCCTCCAATCCACTGGATCAGCATCTGAAGGGAGAAGCCTGGAAATCACCCCCCGGTTACCAGAGAAAATACAGAACTCCAGATACATTAGGATTCAGATAAAAAATGAATATATATATATATTTGGTGTATGTATGTTCCAAACATTGCAAGGGGTACACACATATTAGAAATATAGTTGTTCTTTACCTGAAATTCAAAATTAAGTGGGCATCCTGTATTTTTCTTTGATAAATCTGGCAACCTTAATCTGCACTGAACAAGCTCCCCAGGCTGCACAGCAAAGTTAGAGATCTATTGGTCAGGACTGTGGTAAATAAAGTCACCCGGATAATGCCACCCTGGGGGCCTCTGAAGCATCAGTCAGGCAGCAGTCCCTGGGCAACCTATGTAATCGTGTGCCTTCTTTCCTTTTTGGATTTCTCTAGATTCCTTATAGAGCACTGAAGTTTCTCTTCACACCTGAGCCCCCGTGTTTGCCCAATTCCAGGGGGAGGGAGTCCTGCTGTAGTCTATGGGACTGGTGCCCTCTGGAGATGGGGCTGTGCACAGTAGTTCTGTCCCTATCCATCTCTCCCCTCCATTGGTTCAGGTATTTTGCAATCTGCTGTTATTGTAAAGAAGCTTGGCACACAAAATAAATAAATAAATAAAAATTTAAAAAATAATAATGCTGGGCAGTGAATGAGTATTTCACAGGACATAGGGCCCAGTTGTGTTAACAGAAGGGATAATAGACCCAGAAGGAAATGGACCATCCTAGAGGAGCGCTGTGCTTTTGTCCAGATACTTCTGTAGAAAATGAGCAGCAGTTTAGTGTGGGGGTTTGCCCATTATCTCTGCCTCCCCACAAGTGAGATTAGCGGGCATCCTCCTTTCTCCCAATCAGACCTAGGGCCCAGGCTCCTCCTCCTCGCCACACCCCACCCACCCAGAACCTGAGCAAAGGGCAAAGCGACCAGCATTCAGCAGCGGTGAGAGTAGCAGGTCCAGGGGAGGAGAGAGCTGAGTCTAAAGGAAGAGCAGAAGGAAAGCCCGGAGCTCTCTGGTGGTAAGACTAGCGCTCGGTGACCCAGTATGCTTTGGTATTTTTACCCATATTCCAGTAAAGAAAAAAAGGGTTAGCCCTTCATCAGTCCTCCTCTGGAGGAGGCAGATTACATATTATTCAGAAGAGGTGGGGATCGTGCCGTCCCATGACCACATAACAGGCCCTGGCCCAACCTTCATAGTGGACCCCAGGGTGCTGAGGAGCAGCTATCTGCAGGGGTCCATGGGATAAGAGAAGGAGTAAGTCACCTGTCCTGGAATTTCTCCTCTCAAGAAGTAGCTGGAGCCACACCATTGGTATAGTAAAGAGGGGCCATCACCTGAGTAACATAATCTTGTTTTGAGCTTCACAACGATTTTACTGGTGGACCTTATTATTCCTTTTCTGCAGGTAAGAAAACCCTGGGAGCTAGGCTGGGCAGAGTAGACACTCTGGTCTGGAAAATTAACTGTGGTCACTTTGGGAACTGAAAAGAGTGTGATTCACTTCCAACCACTGGGCCTGGCCAGTGGCCACGAAGGCAGTACTGAGGATGCTTGGGTAGAGTCCACCCAAGTCAGTGTGCTTAAAGTATGGGAAAAAATAGTAAGGTCCAAATCTCGTGACTGAGCTGCTGACATAAGGAGAAGCCATGGACAGGCATTTCCACCTTGGAGTCTGATCTTCCCATCTATGAGTGGACAGGGGCCTATCTGGAGATTTGGGGGCCATGTATAATCAACCCAGAAAGGTAGCTGCAAGGATGGTCACCTGCTGGGCTGTGCATGAGGGGAAGCCAGGGTCTCTGAATCCAGCCTGGGAGGTTGGGGCAGCAGCCCAAGATCAGAGGCCTGAGCAGAAAACTATGAGGGCAAATGTACTGGGTAGGGTGGTAGTGCTAGGAGAGGCCTCTGGGCCTCCTGGATCTCCTCCCCAGTCTATAGGTCCAGCCTGGCAACCCTTCCCTTAGGCCTTATGCACAAATTCACAGAGAACCCCTGACATGACAGGCCTTGTGAAAGAGGAGGCATTTGAGCCTTAAAATACGTGGGAGTGACAGGGGCCAAAAGCAAGGTGCCCATCAAGGACTCGGTGAGGGATGCGTCCTGCCCAGATCAGTGGGAGGGGAAGTTAAGACCAGATACCTTCAAGGATGCGATCCCTCTGAGCAACCATCTTAGAAACAAAATGGCAAGAAGAGAAGCCTGTATGACCTAAGTTTTCAAACCCAAAGCCCATTGTGACATCATCAGCCAGGGACTGGCTATAAGAAGGGAGGCTCAGTCAGCCTCATTTCCCTCACCCTTGGCCTCCATCACCTCCTAGGCCAACAGCAAAGCCAAGGGCCATGCTCCTGTTATCAATTCTGCTGCTCACGTCCCAAGCCAAGGGCGTACATGTTGGTATGTAGGCTCCTCTCCCAGTGGCCAGAGCAGCTCTCCCAGGTGGGGCTGGGCATGACAATGGCCATGCTCACATCACTTTCATCCAGTCGGTGGTTAGCATTAAGGGCTAAGGGAGAGATGTGGTTACTGAGCTCATTAATTAGCTAATTGGTCAGTAAGAGGCTGGCTCAGAAGAACACAAGAGCAGTAGCTTCAGGTTTCCCCACATACCCCCCTCAAAAATACTTCCCTTTCTTCTCCTGTCTTCCCCAGTCCAAAGTTCAACCAGTCTGACCTTAAGTTTCAGTTTTGAAATCCTAAACTTTATCTCTGAATGAGTAATGGAGTGCCTAGAAGCAAGTGCCCAGAATGAGCTGAACATCAGACCTCCAAATCAGGGGAAGAAAAGCGTGGGGGTCAGGAGCATGACAGAGCTCCGGGGAACTGCAGGTGCAGAGCAGAAGCCTAGCTGGGCACAAGCACATGTGTGCACAGAGGCGGAAGTCCAGGGCCTTCTGTTCTCAATGGGCAGCTCCTCAAGGTTGGTTCCCTGATGGGTTCTCTCTCTAAGGGGTGGCTGAGGTTACAGGGAAGCTGGGTTACTTAGCTGCTCTCATGGGTCAGGTAATTCCCCACATTTAATTTCCATCCTACCACAGTGGGGTCTCCGCTCTCAGCCCCATGCATGCGTGAGGAACTCTGAGCCTTATGAAGGTTGAAGATTTGTCCCAAGTCACACAGCAGGGAAGCGGAAGAGCTGGGATTTTGCATCCATCTGACTCCAGGGCCTGCATTTCCCTTTCCACACACTACCCCATGAAAAGAACACAGCCTATTCACCTGGCATCCCTCACTCTGGCCTGGGCGTTGGCTGAAATGTGAGTCAGGGGTGGTGTGTGGTGTCAGGAGAGAATCAGCAGAATGCGTCCCTCTCCAGTGTTTACAATTGCTGTAGATTCTCACCCATTTCAGCATTGCCTCCATCACTGCTCAGGGGTTTTGTGCTCTAGTATTAATTGACAAGTCTACACGATTCTACACTGGTGTTCTCAGGACAAAGGAGAATGGTGCCCAGCTGACAGCCCCATGAAGCCTTTGGTGCAAGATGATATGAGAAATTCTGACAGCTAATGTGGCTTGAGGATTTACTCTGTGCCAAGCACTATGTTGGACACCTCAATGCCCATTATCTCATTTAATCTGTAAAACATCTGTTTTTAGGGTAGGTCCATTTTAGGAATGAAGAAAGGGAGGGTAAGCAAGGATAAGTGGTTTTCCCCAATGCTTACTGAAATCATTCAGTCAGTAAGCAACAGAGCCAGGATTCGGATTTGGGCTGTGGGACCCCAGAGCCCACCCTCTTAGCAAATGCCATATTCTGCTTCTCAGAGATGTCACACTATTGGTACCCATAGTAGTCATCCATCATTTGATCAAGCTTCAAGCTCATTATCACTCTTAGTATCATGACACATTTCCTCCCACACGCATCAGGCCAGCTTGTTAACATGATTGAAACCATACATTCATATATGATTTTTTATCCTGACCTCATAGCATTATTATGAAGATTAAGTAAATTGGTCTTTGTAGAATGTTTGTAACAATGCATGACACATAGTAAGCACTCTGTGTTTGGTAAATAAAAGAGGAAGTGCAGATCCAAAAGTTCTGAAAAGAGTCTTTATAGATTACTGACAGCTGAAGGCCTTTGACACAAATTGCTAAATTTTCACTATAGTTGTATGGTTTTTTTAAGCAAAACATGTCCACTACTGGGTCACTCCAACCTACACTACAAAATCCTCAAAACCTTTATTAAGTGAAAAGTTGGACAAGTGGCATCAAGAAAGAGACAAGAGAAGACCTTAGGTTCTTTAGAGTCAAACTCATTCCTTGTTCGGGAACACAAGGCGACAGTCAAGTCAACCACCATAAATGGAGTGGCTCCTCCTCCCGGAGGCAAGGCGCTGGACCTGTACTCTATCCAGAGGCGAATTTCTCTTCTCTGCACGAGCAGCCACAACCTTTGCTCTCAGTGTCTCAGGGCATGGAGTTGCTCTGCCTGGAACAGAATGTTCTAACCTAGAAGGGCTCAGGCTCAGGGCTTGCAGGAGGTCCATGCCCTTTCTGGGCCACCTTTTTGGTTCCCTGCATGTGTGTTTCCTATAGCTGCTGTAACAAACCACCACAAGCTTAAACAACACCCATTTCTCATCTTACATTTCTGTAGGATAAAATCAGCACAGGTCTCACTGAGCAAAGATCAAGCTATCAGCAGGACTTTGTTCCTGATCTGAGGCTCTATGGGAGAATCTTTTGCCTTGCCTTTTCTAGCTTCTACAGGTCATCTGTATTGCTTGGCTGCTAGCCCCACCATCTTCAAAGCCAGCAGGATGCACCTCTGCATACCTTTCTTCCATAGTCACATCTCTCTCCTGCTTCCTTTCACCATGTTAAGGACCCTTGTAACTCTACTGGGCCCACTCACATTATTCAGGATAATCTCCCCATTTTAAAATCAGCAGATTAGCAAATTTAATTCCATCTCTCAAGTCCCCCTTTCTCTGAAAGGTAACATAGTTATAAGTTCCAGGGCACGGTCCATTAGGACATGGACATCTATTGGGGGAGGGGGCATTATTCTGCCTAACACTCCAGAGATGGCTCTGGACACATATTTTCCTCTGATTTCTCTTAGACTAAGCAGGAAACAAGCTCAGTGAAGTGACTTGTTTGAGATCACAACGCTGGAGAGGGGACAGAGCCAACACTTCTGACCCATGTCCCAGACTCTGTGCAACAAAATAAAGCAACTGTTGCCTTAATCATATTCCTAGAGGGGCTTCACTGGACCAGCCTCAATTTCCTCATCTCTAGAATGGGTATAATGATAACTACTTATAAGCCTCCATGGATATTGACTAAGTGTTGCATCTTTTCCCATTTTTTTCTCTTTCATTCTACCAGAATGTGGTAAAAGACCAATTTTTGATGGAAGAACTCAGTATTCCAGAATCATAGGGGGGATGGAGGCTGAGGTGGGTGAGTTCCCATGGCAGGTGAGTATTCAGGCAAGAAATGAACATTTCTGTGGCGGCTCAATCATCAACAAGTGGTGGATTGTCACTGCTCTTCACTGTGTAGTTTTTGAAGAGCTACTGTAAGTATCCAAGAGCCCATCCCTGTTGCTTCTGACAGTGTTAATCCCCAGGGCACCGCCCCACACTCAGCAAAAACTTGATTGCTAAGGGAAATCCTAGACCTGGTCAGTCCTGAGTCAGACAGGAATGACTACCACCCAACCCTTCCAGCCCCAGGGAGGAGGAGGCAGTGAACTTGAAGATGGCATCTGCTGTACCCTCCTCATTGTCACCCAGGACCAATAACTATGGTTTCCCTGAGGTTACACACTGTCCTTTTCAGGAATATTCATGGTTTGGTGGAGCAAAAGCCTTGGTCCACGCACCTCTTCTAGGACATGTAAGTCCTTCTAGAAGGAAATTCTGCTAATTCTGGAAGTCTGGGATCCTGGGCTTTCTGACACCCTATTTACTTGCTCCTTGGAGAGTTTTGTCTGCACGCCAGGAGACTGGTTGTAAATCTAGAATTTACTGGTTACTAATCATGAATTAGTTACCTGCTAAGAAATTACCTGCATTAACTTATTCATTCAGACATCAACCCTGAAGAAGGTAGATGAATAACCCCGTTTTAACTCATTCAATCTTACAATAACCCCCTGAGACAGGTAGAATGAACAACCTTATTTTTATAGAAAGGGGAACAGGCCCAGTAAGGCTGGGTGATTCACCCACAGTGCACACATAGTAAACAGAAACAGGATTTAAATCCTGGCTCCAGTGCTTATGCTTCCTGCTACACCTGCTACACCACTGCAAGAAAGTTTGAAGATACACAGAAAGGCTGATTTTTAAAAGTTAATAAAAAACAGGGGAAAGTTTCACCATGGCATAACGAAGGAAACTTGTTGCATTTGCTTCCATGATATACTTAAGGATTGGCTATTGGGAAGTTTCTGGCCATTCAGCCTAGAGAGAATGCCTAAATTATTATTAAAGATTCTTTCTGCTTAATCAGTGGTAGGTTTAGATTAAATACTGAGCCTGGGTCTCTAAGTTGTTTGTAGACAAATCAATGGGATAACACCTTATTATCTGAAGCAAGTTTGATCTATGCCAGGTGGTCTCCTGTGTATTCTTTGGAGTCCCCAAAGCTAAGTACTTTCTCTGTAACATTAGACAGGAGTATCTCATATCTCTAGGACTGTGCTGGAGCAGCAATGTGGCTGTAGTCTGCCACCCCTATTGTTTCACTTCCCTCTACCTTTTTCAAATTCTTACATCTCCTGAGCAACAGCCCCAGTAGGACAAGTCCTAAAGTCCCCGAGAACTCTACGGGATTTAAGTTTTTTGGGCAAATTAAATTCTGTGTGCTTCATGACTCCTCTTCCCCTCCCACTTCCCCCTCTCTGTTTCTATGCCACCAGTCCAACGGACTTGAGTGTTGTGCTGGGAAGCAATGACTTAAGAAGCTCAGCTGTGGAGATAAAGGGTGTTACTAGCATAGTTCTTCACAAGGACTTTCAAAGACACAACATGGACAATGATATCGCCTTGCTGCTGTTGGACTCACCCATCACATTCAACGGACTGACAGAGCCCATCTGCATGCCCAGAAAGCCCAGCCCCTCCGTGTGGCACAACTGCTGGGTGGCAGGATGGGGTCAGACCAGCAGTGGTACGTGACTGCTCAGCATCTCCTGAGAACTGCTGGGGGAGGAGCCACATCACAGGCATCTGAGGATGGGCCAGTAAATCTTAAGATGTGGGCAGGAGCATGAAAGGAGAGAGGGCAAAGGAAGGAGGAAGGAGAAAAAGACTTGCATTGGAACAAATCCCTGCATTCCTGAGGCTCACAGAGGCCAAATCTCAGTCCCTTCCCAGTGCCAAGGAAGCATCTCCTCAAGGCCCCAAGTTGAGATGCCAGTCACCAAGCCAGTTGCCAGGTGTGGTCATATTCAGCCAGCACAGAGCAGTCTTGTTTGTTTAACTGAATTTAAACTCTCCAGTTTGCCAGGGGCCCCCATACTCTTTATTCTCTTGCGTCTCCTTTGATTCACACATTGATGTTTCCCACCTGGTTCCTACAGGCATTCAAGATGCCTGTCCCAGCCTAGAATTTTGATGGTCCTGGAATGTTGCCCAGCCATTCTTAGAAATGAATATGTTATTACTTGTTGTTACATTGTTACTTGGCCAAGAAAGGAGGAGCTGTACTAGGGCAAAAAGGGATTATGAAAGGCCCATTGGACTATCCCCAAAGAAAATAGGTAGGGGAAGGGATGGGAACAGCACAGCACTGTCTCAGGCCTGAACAAGACTCTGGGTCCATGGAGATCTTTGCAACCAGCTGGGGTCTGGAAGATGGTAGGTATTTCAGGAGTTTAGTAACTAGAGGACAACTAGAGTAACACTTTCTGGGCTACTACTGGATAGTTAGAAGTGAGGAAGAGGCAGATGGGTATTTATAAGATTAAAACTACTCAATAAGGAGAAGAATTTGGAAATCTGTGTGGTCTGAGTTAATGAGATAAAAAGAAGTCCAGACAAATTCCCGGAAGCTGGCAGTCCAGAAAGGGCCTTGGCAAATCCCCTATAAAGACTTTTAGCCAAACTACCCTTGCCTGGAGGACCTGAAAGCTTTTTCCCTAGGAGCACAAACCTACTCTCGGCAGCCCTGTGTTGGGGAAGTGTCATACTCACTAAAAAGTAGCAATAGATATACATGCTGAAGAGGCAAGCTTATGTTGAGAAATGAATGATCAATAGCCAGTTCCAAGAAGTCAATTCTGTAGGGTTGGTTGGAGTTAAACAGGAAGCCTACTTGGAAGCAGGATTATGATTTTGAATAAGAGGAATAATTCAAGTAGGTGGGGAATTGCTTAGAAAAGACTGGGATGGTAGAATGAGTGAATAGCATGGGATTACTGGAAGGAAGGGGAAAGTGGAGGATATGAAGAAAGGTAGACAAATGGCTGGTGGGATGCAGGGATACACAGTGTGATCTAGTTGTATTATCAGCACTAAGACTGCTATCTAGTGACTTTTCTAATGTGCTTTCTCTGTGGACTAGATGACAAAAACTCTATGAAAACTGATCTGATGAAAGTGCCAATGATCATCATGGATTGGGAGAAATGTTCAAAGGCATTTCCAAAACTTACCAAGAATATGCTGTGTGCTGGATATGAGAATGAGAGTTTTGATGCTTGCCAGGTAACTGAGGGGTATCCCCACCCTCACCCTATAAGCTCCTATCACCTCAGGGCTGCCAATGCAAGGGTATCTTCTCTTCACCGAGAATAGACAGTAAGAGTCTGGGAAATGTGTGGGATTCAGGGCTCCACCATGGGAATGGGGACATGAATTGGGGACTACTCATTGTCAGGTCTTTGGAATGTCAGTGCATGCCCATGAGTTAGTATGTAGCAATTCTGCATAAATATTTCTACTCTTCTTTAGATATACTACATAAATAGGGCTCCAAGTCTTCTCCATTTCTCGAACTTCTTAAAAAACAAAAAGCCAAGCAGGATTTGAGATTCATACAAGGAATCATTTTATTTCATTAATTTACTGTGAGCACATTAAGCCCTGGGGAATCCAACCATGAATGAAACATAGTTTCTCACCTAAAGGAGTCCACAATCTCCTGGGCAGACAGTTGAATAAAGACTTACTATTTTGGAAAATACATGTGGATTTCACTGAACTAAAGACTGGAATCTTAGTTTTTAATAAAATGAACACAACAATTTAAAAAGAAAAACATTTTTGATTGATGCTAGAAAAAAATAGGAAAAAAACCCCTCAGAAATTAGCTTCCTGTGGCTCTGAGGATGAATGATGGCTGTTGTCTTTAAAGCCTAAGAATGCTCTCTTTGTCTTGGGAGATGCTCTGTTCATCATCACCTTGATGAGTCCACTTAGTCCTACTCATTTGCTGGGCAATGGATCTGGTCACTGGTATAAAACTACGGATGCAGATGTTAAATATCCTGTAGAGTAATGAAAAAGCTGTCTCATGGAAGGGGAAAGTATCTATCTACAGAATTATCTATTATTGTTTAATGTTAGGAGATGATAGTTTTCCCTGCTAGGCTGTGAGATAAGGTCTTAGAAGAGAGTTGTTGGGATAGGGGTTGAGGGAATGAGGGAGAAGAGAATGGAGAAAGGGTTCTGAGGTAAGAAAGAATGGACTCCTGTAGCAATGACACTGTTTAGAAGTAGTCTCTCATGTGGTGAATATTGTGAGGACCAAAAAGAGAGATAATATCAAGTGTCACATTAACCTTGTGTTTTCTTCACATTTTGGACCATTTAAAACATTACAAAACAAAAAAGAGAATTTGAACTTCTGGTTCTAGACAGGATGGAGTAAACATAGTTGCCCCAATCCCTCCCACTAAGTACAGCTAAAAGTACTATACATTATATTGTAAAACAAAAATAAAGGTTCTGAAAGGTAGAGATGGACTGACTGGATATTCCAATGCTTAAGAAAGGACCCAGCAGTGAGTTCCTTGGTTTTTTTTTTTTTTTTTTTTTATCCCAGACTGGTTGCTAGACAAGCCTGCAACCCAGAATGCCAATGAGCACAGACGAAAACTAACAAAACAAGAAACACTTCCCTCTCTTTGGACTAGGAAAGGAGCAACCTAGGAAGGAAGAAACTTTTTGACAATGAACATTAAACATTGTTGGCCCTCTAAAAAAATTGATGGCCCTCCTACCCCATCAATCAAGGTCAAGTGGACAACCTCGACTTCCTTCCACTGCCCACCATAGTGGTTACAGAAGAAGTTATATGGAGAACCAGGACTTTAACTACAGTCTAGTAGTAACCAGCCATCCTCTGCCTCCCTTTATGTCACTGGAAGCCACTTGAGGAACTTGGGCTTCCACCCCATCCAGGTATGCCACCCAGGTATAACTCACGCCTGCTCTTCCCCTAGTCATCACTGGCCTGAGTGGAGAATCAGGGCTTCCACTCCAGTCCAAAGGTAAAGAGTTGCTATCTCCCACCCCCCACTCCAATTTCAAAGAAACCTGTTAAAATTGAAGATTTAAATGAGAACCAGTCTCGCAACCTAATACTCAAGGCAATACTCCAGGCAGGATCTGTCATAGCTAGAATAGAGAGTTGGATTTAATTTATTGATAAATATAGCATAAGGAAAATAAGGAAAAATAAAGCCCAAAATCAGAGTAAGGAATCTTTTTTTTTTTAATTGAGAACCATTAATTCCTAGAATAAGTTCAATTAAAACTTAAGTGGTGCCTGGGTGGCTCAGTCGGTTAAGCATCTGACTTTGGCTCAGGTCATGATCTCAGGGTCCTGGGATGGAGCACTGCAATGGGCTCCCCGCTCAGTGGGGAGTCTGCTTCTCTCTTTCCCTCTGTCCCTCCCCCCTGCTCATGCTTTCTCTCTCTCAAATAAATAAATAAAATCTTTAAAGAAAAAACAACGCAAAATGTATCATGAACTTAAATGAAAAACCATAGAAATTTTAGTAAAAAACACAGGAAATCCTTGACACATAGAGTAACATCAAAGACACAATTCATAAAAGGAAAAATTGATAAATTGGACCTCATCAAAATTAAACACTTTTGCCTTGTGAAAGACCCCATTAAGAGTGTTACCAAATCCAAGTTCAGCTGCCCAGTCACTTGAAAGGCCATCACTCAAGAGATGAGGTTTTTTTTAATAAAAGATTTTATTTTATTTTTCAAATTTTTACTTTTTTTTCTATTTTAGCACTTTATTTTTTCTTATTTTTTTTATTATGTTATGTTAATCACCATACATTACATCATTAGTTTTTGATGTAGTGTTCCATGATTCATTGTTTGCGTATAACACCCAGTGCTCCATTCAGTACGTCCCTCTTTAATACCCATCACCAGGCTAACCCATCCCTCCACCCTCCTCCCCTCTAGAACCCTCAGTTTGTTTTTCAGAGTCCATAGTCTCTCATGGTTCGTCTCCCCCTCCAATTTCCCCCCCTTCATTCTTCCCTTCCTGCTATCTTCTTCTTCTTTTTTTTAACATATAATGTGTTATTTGTTTCAGGGGTACAGGTCTGTGATTCAACAGTCTTACACAATTCACAGAGCTCACCATAGCACATACCCTCCCCAGTGTCCATCACCCAGCCACCCCATCCCTCCCACCCCCCACCACTCCAGCAACCCTCAGTTTGTTTCCTAAGATTAAGAATTCCTCATATCAGTGAGGTCATATGATACATGTCTTTCTCTGATTGACTTATTTCGTTCAGCATAATACCCTCCAGTTCTATCCACGTTGTTGCAAATGGCGAGATTTCATTCCTTTTGATGGCTGCATAATATTCCATTGTGTATATATATATATATATATATATATATATATATATATACCACGTAAAGAAAAAAAAAAGAAAAAAGAAAAAAAGAGATGAGTTTTTGATTGGAAAGAAATTTGAGCTCTAGTCAGGAGGCCAGCAACCCAGGGAGAAGATGGACTGTTGACCAAAAGCCAACTCTGAGTTTTCTGCCTGGCCCAGGGGTTTTTAAAGGGGTTTAGGGTGGTTAATCAGCAAAGGAAGTGCAGTGGCAGCCATGTTTCTTGATTACATGCAGACTTGATGATGCTAGCTATAAGCATTATTCTAATGCAAAGGGATCTGGTACTGGGAGTATGCTGTTCTTTCTGCAAAGGAGGGCCAAGTCTACATATGCATGAAGGGAGGGAGGACAGCAAAATCATTTGTGTGTCCTAAAAAAAAAACTAAACCAAATAACCATTTTGCTAAAAAAATTGTTAGCTAGGGCGCCTGGGTGGCTCAGTTGGTTAAGCGACTGCCTTCGGCTCAGGTCATGATTCTGGAGTCCCGGGATCAAGTCCCGCATCGGGCTCCCTGCTCAGCAGCGAGCCTGCTTCTTCCTCTGACCCTCCCCCATCTCATGCTCTCTGTCTCTCATTCTCTCTCTCTCAAATAAATAAATAAAATCTTTGAAAAAAAATTGTTAGCTAATCAGAAAGCTGAAGAGGTTTCAGAGAGATTTGCTGGCTTCTGTGGCCTAGGAAATTTCTGGTCCTTCACTCCTCAAGATGCATGGTCTGCAAATCTCAAAGAAAGTAAATTTATTCTGTTATAGATCAGGGGACTTAGGTCAGCAAGCAAGGAGTGTGTTAACTTGGAGCAAGTCAGTCCTTAAGGCTGGTGGGAGTGTTGTTACAAGAGGATGAAAACAAAGCTACAGATTGGGAGATGATATCCAACAAAGGAATTACTTAGAATATATAGAGAACTCTCAAACTCAACAGTAGAAAAAAACTATCCAGTTAGAAAATGGGCAAAAGACATGGACAGACATTTCACTAAACAAGATATACAGATGGCAAATAAGAACATGAAAAGAAGTTCAATATCATTGGCCATTAAGCAAATGCAAATTAAAACTGCAATGAGTGGGGCGCCTGGGTGGCTCAGTCGGTTAAGGGTCTGCCTTCGGCTCAGGTCATGATCCCAGGGTCCTGGGATCGAGCCCCGCATCGGGCTCCCTGCTCCGCGGGAAGCCTGCTTCTCCCTCTCCCACTCCCCCTATTTGTGTTCCCTCTCTCGCTGTGTCTCTCTCTGTCAAATAAATAAATAAAATCTTAAAAAAACTGCAATGAGCTATCACTCCATACCTCTCAGAATGGCTAAAAAAAAAAAAGAAAAAGAAAAAATAGTGACACCACCAAATGCTGACAAAAATGCAGAGGAACTGGAGCCCTCATGCACTGCTGGTGGAAATTTAAAATAATCCAACCACTCTGGTGTTGGGAAAATTGGACAGCCACATGCAGAAGAATGAAACTGGACCATTTCCTTACACCACACACAAAAATAGACTCCAAATGGTTGAAAGACCTAAATGTGAGACAGGAGTCTATCAAAATCCTAAAGGAGAACACAGGCAGCAACCTCTTTGACCTCAGCCACAACAACTTCTTTCTAGAAACATCACCAAAGGCAAGGGAAGCAAGGGCAAAAATGAACTATTGGGACTTCATCAAGATAAAAAGCTTTTGCACAGCCAAAGAAACAGTAATTTGTAATGCCTTATAACATTATAACATATACTTCTTACAACTGCATTATACAACTACATTATAGTAACTGCATTGTACAACTACAGTTATATCAAAATGAAATAAGGAAGAGAAGATGAGCTTCCCAATA